GGGCGTGTCCCTGTCTTTTTCGAACATGTGATTGGTTGTGTCCAAATAAGGCCTCCATCACCGCTCTACATCCACTTTTTCTGCTCTTTAAAGGTGCATTGCGTCATTCTTTACACACTGCTGTGGGGTTGGGAGCCAACCAGTGACCTAACACAACTGTGAGTGTGTGTTTGAGGCCTTCAGTCCCTCGGAGCCGCATTCCTTCACCGTTAGTCACGATCGAACATCATTACCGGCCGTGTGTGTGTGTGTGTGTGTTTGTGGGCTTTGTGTTTGGAATAAACCTCCAGAGTTCTGTTTCAGGGTTCACATGTGCTTTCAGGGATCACGCTAGAACGGGATGGAGTCCAGGGATCCTCACAGGGATGGAAGCACGAATAAGTGTGTGTGTGTGTGTGTGATTAAGTGAGTTATATAAGCAGCTCCTGGTGAATTATTTCCAAAATACCTCAGTCATAAAGTATCAGACGCTCGCACAGAGACAGAACCGTTTGGATCGGAGTGTTTCGTGTGAGTTCTGGACCTCGTCGTACCTTCAGAAAGAACTGAGGGAAGTCTTTATCCGTTACAGACGCTAATTAGGGGTATACGAGGTGTGACTATTAAGAGCAGGAGCTGCAAACTGCTGGAACAACACTGGAGCGCTCCACCGTGTTCTGATTTCTGTCATTTACACTGAATACTTAATATTCTTCCTCACATGTTTTAGACTCTTTTATACTTTTCTGAGATGTTAAAGATGTCTGACATGTATTTTTTTATACTTTTAACTGATATTAAAACATGTTTTTAATCGTCACCCTGAGGAAACCCCGTCAGTTCACCTCCAGCTTGTGTGTTGTCGTGTTGCATGTGTGTTTGTCACCTGTGTTGTCAGGACAGAGGACGCAGTCGGTGATGCCCCAGGCCTTCCCGATGCCCCTGCAGCACATCTCTCTGCTCCTCAGACCAGGAAGTGGAGAGCTGCACTGCAAACACCAGCATGTTCTGTTCACATCATCAGTAAACTCAGCACATCGACGGGTTCTGCTGACGGACGCTGCGTCTCACCTGTCCGTCTTTCACCTCTCTGAAGCAGTATTTGAATCCGGAGTGCTGAGTGTAAACGCCGTCGCCTCTCACCGTCTGGGCCTGAACCCGACCTCCCCCCGGAGCCGGAGCGCCGGCCGACCCGGAGGAGGAGGAAGACGAGAGCGTCCGCAAGGTGGGACCGAACCCAGACACCTGGAACAAGGTGAGGAGATTCACAGCAGAACCTGAACTGGCTGCTTTTATTACAGCAGCTGAAGCATATTAAAAAAAATTTAAAAAAAAAATGTCAGGAAATATATTAAAATATCTTCTTTAAAAAAGTCTGAAAATTCAGAAAGTATAAAAAAAAGTGTCAGAATGTTTTACATTTCTCAAGAAAAGTTTTATTATTGTTTTATTTACATTATTATTATTAAAATGTAAGAAAAATAATATTTTTTAAAAAACCCTGAAATGTCTGAAACAGTCAGAAAATATTAAATATATATATATGTAAGCATGCTTTTTAGAAAGTCATAAATCTATTGCTAAATCTAAAATGACTGAAAAAAGTTAAAAATCATGATATAAAGTTTAAAAAAAACCCGATTGATTTGTCTAGAATATAATAGTAAAATATTTTTGATGACATTTATTAAAAATAAATGTCATAAAAAATCTTAAATTAGAAAAGAAACAGAAAATGTCTGAAATATCTTAGAATTTTTAGAAAAAAAAAATTCTGGAAAATATCAAAATAAAACATAAAAGAAAAAGAAAAACATCAGAAACCTACAAAATGCTAAAAAAACCAAAATAACTTAAAAAAAAACTTATAAAATATCAAAAAAGTCTTTCAGAGATGTTTTCTGAGTTTTATTAAAAGCTCTACATGAGAATGTTATCGTTGCGATGATGAGTGACAGCTCCATCGTCCAATCAGAGCAGCCGTTCCTGTTCTTACCTTCAGCACCTGGTGGACGCTGACGCTGGCCTCGGCTGGATGCTGGACTCGGACCTTCACCATGGACGGACCGAGAGCTGCACGGGGAAGACAGAACGCTTACAGTCTGAGAAATCCTCCACTGAATCTGAGATCAGTTTAAATCCAGAAATAAACGGCTAAAAATGATTGAAAATACTGAGAAAACAACTAAAAGAAAAAAATAGACAAATGTATAACTAAAAAGCATTTCTGTAATATCAAAGCAGAAAAATATTAATTTAATATCTGAAAAATATGAATAATGTAAAATATAAAAAGATGAAAAGAATAAAAAATGATAAAATACCAAAAAATAAAAACATCAATACAAAACAATTTATAGAAAGGATTAAAACACATAAAATTTTTTTTATATGAGTCACAAAAGTGTATATATATGAATAAAATATATGAAAAAGACTAATAATATAATAATAAAAAATATTAATACTGCAAAAAAATGACTAAAATAAAAAGGAATTTTAGAAAAGTGATAATAAAATATAAAAAGTAAAAATATGAATAAAATATCTAAAATAATTACAAAATATTATTAAAAATATTTTTTAAACGTTATATGTTGACAAAACTCACCTGATAAAATCTTAATAAAATAAATAAAACATTTGTCTCCAACATCACCTGGCTGGGGTCAAAGGTCAGACTCACCTTCTGATCTCGTGGCCTCCCGGTTCTGGCCGAGCGGCAGCAGGAACTCGGACTGGGTCAGCTCCTGATTGGTCACCATGGCGGAGAGGAGGGCGGGTTTGACGATCTCGTTGGTGGAGGCGGGCGAGGAGGCGGCGGCGGCCGTCGGGGCGACGGGGATGTGGCAGAACTTTCCGGTGAAGTTTGGAGGACAGAGACAGCGATCCTGCTGCAGACAGACGCCTCCGTTCTTACAGAGCAGAGGACAGACGACTGCAGGACGACAACAAACAGCTTGTTTACTTGTTTGTTTACACAAATGAGTTCAACCAATCAGCAGTGAGACCGAAAACAATTCTAAAAATATGTTCAATATATTTAAAAATGTGAGAGAATTATTGTAAATTAGCTGAAAGCAATGAGCTCAATATTTCATTTTAAAAAGTCAATAATATGAAAGAAATATTCGTAAACTGTCTTCAATGAAACAAAGTCTTAAAATGTCGACGTAGTGCAAATAAAGTGTCTAAAAATATGAATAACTCGCCAACGAATCCCAACAGAGACGCTTCAACAGTTACACATTTTAATATCTAACAATAAAACAAGACGTGATTGTCTGCAGCGCCCCCTGGTGGAGGACCCCAGCACCTCCTGGTGAAGGACGCCAGCGCCCCCCGGTGAAGGACACCAGTGTCTCCAGTCTGTTTCCATGTGAAACCATTGGATTTATCAGATCTATCGGCTTTAATTCTGGCCTCCTGTCACCAGCGACCGGACCGGCCTTCTGGGAGGCGTCGGGCCTTGGCGGGTCTGGAACAAAGCCGGGCCGGTGCGATGGAGGCGGACCGACGCCAGCAGAACCAACCAGCTGCTTCCTGCTTCCTGCCGAGCTCCTGCCACAGGATGCTGCAGCATTGTTACCCAGAGTTCAGCTGCTGGCGGAGCCGCCGCTAACGAGCCCCGGAGCCCCGGCCGGCGAGGAAACCCGGAGGTCCGAGTCGCTCACGGACAGAAAGCTGCTGCTGATAACGCTGACCCGCTGGTGGGAGGACGTTTGATAGAAAGTGGGTTCATTCACTATCAGAGCAGAACATCTTCTGCACAGAGTGATGCATTGTGGGTGTTTGGATCCTCTCAGCTGCATGCAGACGAACTTCATCATAATATTCTTGTTGTCGTCTCATTTGAACCCTCACAGGTCAAACTTGACCCGTTCTGATATTTGACACCAGTATAAACACCCTAAACTTCTTTCTTTTAGCCTGAAATTTAGCCTTTTTTCCCCTTAAAGTGGCCCAAAACACACAAAAACATTTTAAACATCATCCTTTTGTCCAGGTGCTTCACGTGTTTGAGGCTGTTTGGGTTTAATTTGACCTTTGAGATGGATTTTTAGATCCACCAGTGTGGGTCACATGAAGGGAAGTTCTGGTTTTAGGGACTCTAGAAACATTAACGTCGGCTTCAAAACAGATCTGTAGTTTGAAAGTAAAGTTCTAGCTGCTCATCTCTGAGTTCTGCCTCCTCCTTCATGTTGTTCTGGTTCCACAGAAACATGAACCTCAGTGAATAAAAACGAGAATATCTGCTGCTCAGGTCGAGTGTTTTCCAGCATCGTGCTGGCGCTCGGCGGCGTGACGGCGTTGGCGTCCACGCCCTCCTGCGATGCGTTTACTTTACGCCCGGCGCTGCTGAGCGGCTGCATGTGTGCTGCTGTAAACACGGTGACCCAGATCTGGCTGGACGGCGGCCTACAGATGGACCGCATCAGCGCCGAGGCGGTTCACAGCAGGTCTCTGCAGAAACAGAGCGACGGACACCGAGGGAGTCGGGAGGCGTAAACAGGGAGAGATTACAGCGCCGGAGCGATGTAAACAGAAAGAGAAACACGAGAAATCTGTCCGATTAGCTTCTTGGCGGAGTGAAATAAACGACATCGGGGGAAAAACATGACGACATATGTTGAAAAAATGCAGGAATCTTCACCAGATAACTTGAATAATTACAGCGAAAGACGATTTTGTAGGAAAACAGAAACAAAAAATGATTTTAAAAAGCTAAAAACAGAGTTTGAAACCTTCTTATGAGCCAAAATATTTCCATACAGCTGCATCATGTTGCACAACAGCTGCCAAAATTATACTCATGATTATTTATGTGTTGATTTTAGAGATAAAATCCTTTAAATGTGTTTAATATTCACGTCCATGTTGAGCTTCATCTGAATTCAGCGCATCTGTAAGAAGTAAAGTATGAAGTACATCGAACCCAGAAGTCCTGATAATCTGCTGATCGATGGACGCTACGGTTTACAGATGTTCCCTAAACGCCTCACGGTCGTGGCTAGAAGCTGCTCTGAGCACAGAGAGGCTTCTAGTCTCCATCAGAGGCCGAAACTTGGTTTAAAACGAGGAGTTCTAACGTCAGAGTTTATCTACAAGGGCTGCTACCATTTTAAATGTCAGCACAGCTTCAAATCATGAATGTATTTAATATTTTACTAAGCCTTTGAAATGTATGCTTTGTTTTTATTCTAAATTGCCAACATGACCATTTATCAGCCAGAAACTGTAAAAAAACAAAACAAAAACTTAGAGAGTTGTTGGATTTCCCACTTTGCTGCAGTCCTTGAACTACACCTGTGGGACTTTTGTGGGAGTCGAAGCTTAAAAATGTTCTATTTCATCAAAATTGCTGCACTTGGTGTGTTTTTATTTATAAATTCACCAAAACAAACAGTTTTCTCTGACTGGATGATGTCAAAAACTATAAACGTAATGATATAACAGAGTTTGTCAGGATGAAATAAACGTAAATCGTAATTTTGTCTTCTTTGACAGAAAACGTCGTCTCAGTCCTGAAACCCCCCCTGAGCGGTTTTAAGAGGTTTCTTTATAAAAAGTCACCAAACATGACACCATTGACCAGAAAAACAAACTGAACAGAATCAAACATCCAACTTTCCCTGAACTGAAAACATCTTTATCAGGAGAAATGACCAAAGAACTCCCACAAACTGCTGCCTGGAGTTCAGAGTATAAAGTATACCGACAACGGGACAACAGTGCTGCCTTTCTATTGTTCGGTGGTCTTTGTGTCTTTTTGTTAGCATTTTGTGCGTCTTTATGGGTATTTAGCATCTCTTTTTGCCTGCTTTGCGTGTCTTTGTGGTCATTTTGCATATGTTAGTGGTCATTTTGTGTGTCTCAGTGGTCACTTTGCATGTCTTTAAGGTGTTTTTAAATCTCTTGGAACCACTCCTTGGTGTTTTTGCATTTATTTGTGGTTATAAGCACCTATTTGTGGTGATTTTGTGGCCACTTCGTGTCTCTTTGTGGTCATTCTGTGTGTTTTTGTAGCCATTTTGTGTCTCTGTGGTCACTGTTTAGACTTTTCTGGTCATTGGTAAACACTCCATGGTGCTTTTGCATGTCTTTGTGGTTATTTAGTGTCTATATGTGGCTATTTTGAGCATTTTGTGGTAATTTTGCATCTCTTTGTGGTTGCTTTATGTATTTTTGTTGTCATTCTGTGCATCTTCGTGGTCATTTGTCACCACTCCACGGCGCTTTTGCATGTCTTTGTGTTGGTTTTGTGTCTCTGTAGTGATGTAGCTTAGACTTTGCGGTCATCTTTTATATCTTTGTGTGGTCATTTTGCATCTCTGGCTATTTTTGGTCACGTTTAAGTATTTTCGCATCTATCTGTAGCTGTTTTACATCTTTTTGTGGCCCTTTTGCGTACATTTGTGGTCGTTTTGTGTCTCTGTTGTGTTTTTAACCTCCACCTGTGTGGAGTCAATCTGGTCCAAATGGGTCAGAGAGGCTAACATGCTAACACATGCTAACACGCTAACACACATACATGTGCTCCTGGTTGTGTGTTTGTATTTCTTTGTGTGTGTTTTGTCGGTTTAATCCCTGCTTTGTGTGACACTGCTGATGTTTGGGGGTGAACCAGCTGTTTGGATGGGGGGGGG